GGAGGGGAGAGGGATAGAGAGTTAGAAACATCGATGAGAGAGAGACATCGATCAGCTGCCTCCTGCATGCCCCCTACTGGGGATGTGCCCGCAACCAAGGTACATGCCCTTGACCGGAATCGAACCTGGGACCCTTGAGTCCGCAGGCCGATGCTCTATCCACTGAGCCAAACCAGTCAGGGCTTGCTTGTGTTTTTGAAGGCCTTGATCAACTGTTGCTTTTAAGGCCACAGCCTCTAGTTCTCAGAACTAAAGATTTGCTTCAATCTGTAACAACTCTTCCATACCTAGGAGCTCCTGCAGGAAAAGTCAGGGGTTCTTTCTTAGTCAGATATGAATCCCCAGCTCATCTAAACTCAGTAATACTCAGTAAATATTAAAGATGGTCTCATTTGTGAGGCTGGCACCCACTATAACTGTAGACTCTATTGTATATAGATTGGTCCGGGTATAATTGATGGTACAAGATAAGAAAATACTTTTTAAAGTCATTGAAAAAGTCACATTATTAATAATGGTCAAAATAGAATGATATCATTGAAATGAAATTTTTCATTTACCTAGGATTTCAGTGTTTGAGCCCTGGCTGGTTTGCTAAGTGGATAAAGTGTCGGCCTGCGGACTGAAGGGTCCCAGGTTCGATTCCAGTCAAGGGTACAAAGGCTGGGTTGCCGGCTGGATCCCCATTAGGGGGTGTGCAGGAGGCAGCCAATCATTGATGTTTCTTTCTCTCCCTCTCCCTTCCTCTCTGAAATAAAAAAATATCTATTTTTTTAAAATTTCAATGTTTGACAAAACAGATTTAATTGAAAGGTGAACTAGATATTTGAGGATTTTGGTGAAGACTTTTCTGGAAGTATTTAAGGGTTTCTGATGTTAAGTCTAATAATGATTTTTAAACTTCCAATTTTATGTCATTTTGTAGTTTTTAAATATGTGTGTGTGTGTGTGTGTGTGTGTGTGTGTGTGTATAATTGATTTCAGAGAGGAAGGGAGGAGAGATAGTTAGAAACATCAATGATGAAAGAGAATCATTGATTGGCTGCCTCCTGCACGCCCCCCACTGGGGATCGAGCCCGCAAGAGCCCGCAATCCCGGCATGTGCCTTTGATCAGAATCGAACCCAGGACCCTTCAGTCCGCAGGCTGATGTTCTAGCCACTGAGCCAAACCAGCCAGGGCTCATTTTGTAGTTTTAATAAATTTAATTTATATTATTTTATGGTATGCTACTAGCCTTTAACTTATTTCACCACTGTTCTGGCTCTTTAAAATATTCCCCGACAACTTTGCTTCTTCAGTGATAATTGACTGAGAAGTAAAAGAGGAAAACTTGAGGAGAGCACTATCCTATTTCCTGGGTATGGGGCTGAGGGAATGCCTATGGGGGGTGGTGGGGGGGAAGCATATTGGTTGAGGCATTTCTTTCCAATCACCACAAGGTGGCACCACTGGCTCAGAATGACTGGGTTTCCGTCCAGAATCAGAAGGAAGGCTTTGAGAGCCCACCTGCTGTAGGGGTAGAATAGGGGAGTTTGGGGGGGGGGGGTAGCGGGAGGTGGCGGGGGGGGGAGGGGGGCAGATAGTTTTATACTCCTTTTTCCTTATAGTCTAGAGATTTTTGTAAATTGGATGTTTATAAAGCAGGGAATTAAGCACATGATGAATTTATATCCATTATTTTATCTGATAATTTTTATTGTGTTTTGTTTTTTTTCTTTCTGTACCTGTAGTTGCTTCAGAAACAGGTAATATTTTTCTAACAGTCACTTTGTATTCTTGCATCTTGCCTTTATAAATGCTTTTGTTTCTTACCATAGTGGATAATGGAAAATTAATATACTCTGACTTATGACATTAGAAAAATCTACATGCAAATTCCCACAATTGCAATTGATTATAGCCTGTTGATTTTTTGAAATTTGCTGGCATTCTGGATACAACATTGTACTATGTAATACCAACAGTGTTTTTTAAAAATCCAAACATGGCTGTTAATAAAGCATTTTTAGAATTTACAGTAGTGGTTATTGGTAACAGTGTAGAATGGAATATCCAGGTCTTGATTTCTTTTAGCTAATGATACAGTGCTGATCTGAAGTAGAGTATTTATGACCAGGGTGTTCTCCAGCATCCTGACACTATAGCCTCATTTTGTGCTGACTCCCACTTCAGCGCATCTTTCCCTAAACTTTTTACTCGTCTTTAAAAAGGGATTGTCTTTGGGGAAATTCTGATTTTATTTATTTTTTAATTTAATTTTTAGTTTTCAGAGGAAGGGAGAGAGAAGAGAGAGATAGAAGAAACATCAGTGATGAGAGAGAATCATTGATTGGCTACCTCCTGCACGCCCCCTGCTGGGGATCAAGCCCACAACCCAGGCATGTGCCCTTGACAGGAATTCGAACCCGAGACCCTTCAGTCTGCAGTAGATGCTCTATCCATTGAGCCAAACCGGCTAGGGCTCTTTGGGGGAAATTTTAAAAGTAACGTCATTCCTTATTAAGAGAAACATTTTCACATTTTCCCTTCCCCCATTTCTGCCTTGAAATAAAACCATAATGCTCTCAGTAAAAACAGGTGAATAGTTAATTCCTTTTATAAGGTTGGTGTTGTAAACAGAAGATTTAAGATAATGTAGAATTGGAAAAATAGGTTATTTAATAAATGGCCTCTTTCTACAGCCTAAACTCTGATCAGCAGAGTAAAACTTGGTTCAGTGAAGTTTGCTTTTTTTTTTTACCCTCAGTGAAAGCCTTGCTGTTTTCTTTTAGAACAGGGGTCCTCAAATTTTTTAAACAGGGGGCCAGTTCACTGTCCCTCAGACCGTTGGAGGGCCGGACTATAGTTTAAAAAAAACTATGGACAAATTCCTATGCATACTGCACATATCTTATTTTGAAGTAAAAAAACAAAACGGGAACAAATACATTATTTGTATTTGCATGTGGCCCGTGGGCCGTAGTTTGAGGACCCCTGTTTTAGAATAATAATATATTATTATAAAAGTACATTTAAGTTATTTTTTTGTATTTTTCAATTTCAGGACAGCTTGGCTTGGTCTCTACTCTTTCCAAATACTTTGCCATACATACACACACATTCCTGCAGCGAGAAAAAGTCCATTTATGTTGCTGTGTAAAAAAAAAAAAAATCTCTCGCTGCTTTGAGCTTTAATTTTGTGAATAAAAATAATGCTACTTTTAATACTGGATTTCCATCTAAGTATGTGCTTTATTTACTTAAAACGTATGCTTTTCTAAAATTAGTGTGATTAAAACATTAACAGGATCTTAATTATAAATTAATAATCCTGTTGCTTCTTGCAGAAGATAACATGACTGGTTTGGAATTTTTCTGTAGTCTAGTTTTCTGTTCTAGTTTTGTGAAAATTAAACTAGTGAATTTCAGCATCCTAATGTAAGTTATTATTTGATTTTTTTAGAGCATTTCACATTCTTGAAAACACACATGCCAAAATTAATTTTTACCAAGAATTTGTGTAACTTTAAGATAATACAGAGTAGGGCTTGACTTACGTGAATGTCATGTAAAGCCAAGTTTTTAGGACCATCTTCCAGCTGAAGATGACATGAAGTCAGCATCAGTCTATTAGACCTCTTAGAAAGTTTTCCCAAAATAGAGTCGCTTCTAGTGAGTACTCCTTCCCACTCTCAACTGTAGTGTGCATCTCTGGGGAGGCCCCCGCGTACACTCTTGGCGTTTATTACTGGTAGCAATGAGAATTGTGCTGCTGGTAGAGCTGGCAGCTAAGCCCATTAGTGCAGTTATGTCTTTATTTCCTAGTGAGTGTGCTACCCCATCCCTCCCCATTCCTTCATCCGCCCCTGGTTTGGGATGAGGGGAAGTAAAAGCTAGTTAGGCTTGTAGTGCCATCCATAAATTTGCTGGCACAAATTTCTTACTTTGTCATCACCTTGCCCACTGGAGAGCTGTTAATAGTCACAAAAGCAGAATCAAATAAAAAATCCCTCTGGAATTGGCTCTTTTGAGGAGACACAGCTGTTGATTCTTCCCTTCTTTTCCGTGGTGGTAGCTTGCAGTAGGGGTGAGCTCATAATGACTGGGTGCTAGATCAGCAGAAGTATCACTGTCTAGCCCTGTGCTAGATGATGCCATATGAGTCCAGCCACTTAAGTGCAAGCCTTTATCTCCAAAGCATTTTCTAACGTTGCCCCAGTGGACCTTTATTTAACTGAGTCCTAACTCCCAACTAGAGAAAATTTTTCTTTGCTGGGATAGCTGCTACAGATAGATAGTTCCTGTCAGCCAAACATACTGATGCCATGTTGCTTTCACTAGCTAGTGCTCCTCAGTAATATTAGCAGAGGAGAAGCAGACACAAGTGAGAAAGAATGGATCGGAAGTTCAGATGGCCCTGCCATGTGAACTTTCTGGAGACAGGAAACACTGTAGGGCCTGAACTTTGTAACAGGGCAGCTGTAGGGAAAAATGGGTTCTGTGGAGAATGGGTCACTTAGAATAGCTTCAGTTACTAATGGCAAAAGTATGTTAGGATACTGATGCTTGCATATAGACATGGGTTCAGAAAGTGGAAAAATCTTCCCATGTTTGGCTGCAGGACCACTGAGGGTATGTCTAATTACTGGGTTCTTTTAACAAAAGAGATCGTTTTAAGTGGATGGATAGAAATTTTCTGGATTACTTCAAAAAACACAAAGTAATTATTTTTCATATAATTTAATGACTTGTGAATATATGAAAACATTTCATGTGGCTTAAAATTATATTGAAAACATATCTTCATTAATAATTATCTATGATGCCAATTAAGTTTTCTAAAGTTAGAAGCATCAGATATCTGAAAGCATACTGTTAATGAATGTTATTCTTTCTGCATTAGAAATTCCCTTTTCATAATTATTTTTTAGCATACATCTTTGTTGGTAATTTATGTGTATAGTTTAGTCCATTGTGTGGGTGGTTGTATGATCTTTCAACCAAAAACATCCTTTGCAGATGCTTTCACTGACTCAGCTATCAGTGCTAAAGTGAACGGTGAGCACAAGGAGAAGGACCTGGAGCCCTGGGATGCAGGGGAGCTCACTGCCAGCGAGGAGCTCGAAGCTTTGGAGAACGACGTCGTAAGTACAGTCTTTGGATTACTAACCAACTGTGGCCGTGTGATGTGGTATGACATCCTGTCACGGATTCAATTTAAGTATATTGTTGTTGTAATTATATTTAAAGCAGCAGTTTTATTGTGTAAATGTAGATTGTTGTCTGTATTTCCCCTCCTTCCCCCACCCCAGGGTGGTAAATACAGAAAAAATGTTTCTTTGGGATGCTTATGAATTATTCCTATGTTTTTAAAGTAAGTTATAATAAGCAACTTTCAAATCTAAACCATGGGAAACTGGAAATGCCAGAATACAGTGGGGCCTTGACTTATGAGTTTAATTCGTTCCGTGACGGAGCTCCTAACTCAAATTACTCGTATGTCAAATCAAAAAGTGAACGAGTGAGACACGTGATGCTGGGCTGATGTTGTGGCGTTCACTGCGCCAACTAGCGGTGGGGTATCTGAAGCTGGCTCGTAACCCGAATTTTAGCTCGCAACTCAAAGCAAAAAATCGGCCAAGAGACGGCTCGTTAGTCGGGAAACTCGTAAGTCAAGGCCCCACTGAATTTTGCTTTGAGTGCTCTGCCCCATAAGGCAGCCCAAGGCAAGTGGTATGGTGTCTAAATTGTCTGTTGACTTTAGGTGAGGTCAAAGTACATCTTTCAGGCTTGTCTGAAAAAGAAGTACTAATTATTAAGGTATATAGTTAGGTAACTGTATAATTAAAGCAACAAATAAATTTCTTAATCTAAATTAGGATCATTCGCCACAAAAACCTATTTATAAAAGTCTCTTAGCAAACATTTTTACTTTTCCTATAACACGTCATCTATAAATCACATGCTTAATAAAGGCTGTCTTTAGGATTCTGTAAATAAATTTTCTAAACTGCAGAGATAGAAAGCAAAGTCTCTTGCCAAAAATGAGTGTTTAGGGAGCAAAATTAGAATCGTATGAAGAATCTTCCATTGAATATTACAGAGAAGTCTTATAACCAATCTGTGCTTTATCTTTAAGTCATTGTTCAGTTATAAATATGTAGGCAACACATCACTATTAATTTTCAAACATTAAAGAATCACATATAACCTGATGCAAAGGTTCTGAGGTCTGTGCAGCATAGCACCTGCGTGGAGGGTGTAGTGAAGTAGGCACTCTTTTTTTATTGGTAGTGAGGCAGATAAGTGGATCAATGCTTTCTAGAGAGCATTCTGGCAATATCTTATTTAAAAAAAAAAATTTCATTCATTTTTTACAGAGAGGAAGGGAGAGGGATAGAGACTTAGAAACATTGATGAAAGAGAAACATCAATCATCCGCCTCCTGCACACCCCCCACTGGGGATGTGCCCGCAACCAAGGTACATACTTTTGACCGGAATCAAACCTGGGACCCTTCAGTCCTCAGGCCGACGCTCCATCCACTGAGCCAAACCAGTTAGGGCCTGGCAGTATCTTATCTGAATTTAAAATAAACATACACTTTGGTCTAGCAGTTCTACCCCTGAGAATTTATTTTTGCCATAATTGATCCGTAAAACGTGAAAATAATTATGTATGAGGATTGTTTTTGCAGCTGTTTCTGATAGTGAAAAATTGGATACAGCCTCATTGTCCATTAGCAGGGTGTGGGTTAAGTAGATTTAGTGTACCTTCATTCACTTGAAATACTGTATGTCCATGAAAAAGAATAGTAGTTTGGTATGGAAAGATATGCAAGACTTAATGAATGAAAAAGCACGTTGGAGAACAAGAAGATCATATTTGGGTTTTAAAATAAAGAGAGAGCCAACTATATGTGCATAGGGACTGTCTGGATTATGTCCAAGAAATTGTTAGTAGTGGTTAGGCACACATTTACTTTTTATTGGATGTCTTTCTGCAGTTTAGATTTTTTACATGGAGCATAAACTACTTAAGTAATTTTAAAGCCTTCACAAGTAACTGATTTTCTGTCCATGTTAGGCCTAAGGAGTTGCTTTAGTGGTGGAATTACATTATAGTTTTGTTTTTAAATATATTTTTATTGATTTCAGAGAGGAAGGGAGAAGGATAGAGAGATAGAAATATCAATGATGAGAGAGAATCATGGATCGTCTCCCTCTTGCATGCCCCCTACTGGGGATCGAGTCTGCAACCTGGGCATGTGCCCTTGGCCGGAATCAAACCTGGGACCCTTCAGTCCTCAGGCCGACACTCTATCCACTGAGCAAAACCGGCTAGGGCTACATGATAGTTTTATCTGAAGTAACACAGAGAACCCAAGGTCGATGGGTGACCTTAGAGGCAAGCTTTAGTGTTGAAGTTGCCATGGACATTGCTTGGATGATTCTGTGTTCTCTCTTCTGAGATGGATAATGATTATGGACTGTATTTTGGTCTTTCCACCAGTCAGGCCTTTAAAAGGAGTTGAGACAATAGAGAAGTGATTGATTACCTAGACATTAATATTTACCAGTGAAGATTCTTGCCGCTACTGCCCCTGATGGATTAATTCTTATGGATTAAAAAATGTAGTTTAGCCCTGACCAGGTAGCTCAGTTGGTTAGAGCATTGTCCTGATATGCCAAGTTTGATCCCAGTCAAGGCACATACAAGAATCAACCAAATAAATGCATAAATAATTGGGAACAACAAATTGACGTTTCTTTCTCTCTCTCTCTCTCTCTCTCTCTCTCTCTCTCTCTC